GCGGCGCGGGGACCCTGTCCCACAGCTACCAGTATGACGTGTGTCTGGGGAGAATCTGGGACCAGGGAATTTAAGTTTTTCAAGTTTGTTGCCTCCACCCAACAGAAGCCTGTGAAGGATATGGAGGAAAACACAAATTTTTGAATAATTTTGGATTCAATTATGAATTTCGGTTAAGGAATTTGGGTTCTTTCGAAATATGATAGGTCTCCGTTACTGTTTTGGTCCGTATAGAATTTTTTGGGGTGATTTGCTGATTACATATTCCTATTAAGGGGATTTGAAATATTCTTTTTGAGTATATACTCATATTTACTCTTTATATCATTTCTATTTTGATAGAGACAAAGAATTTTCAACTTTATTGCATTACCGAAACGTCATGAATATGTGTTGAATTTATCAACTTTTCATTATCAAGCAGTGTTGATTTGAAGATGACCCCAGCCCCATCCTCTCTTTATTATATGGAAACTCTAAAAATTTTTTTACATTGTGGTTACTTAAAAAGCATTATGATATTAATATAATGAAGTATCAGTATAGTTTCTGTTTAATCTGATATTAAGCCTACTTGTCTTAAAATTTTTTTTAAGATTTTTTTATTTATTTGACAGAGATCACAAGTAGGTAGAGAGGCAGGGAAGCAGGCTCCCCGCTGAGCAGAGAGCCTGATGCAGGGCCCAGATCCCAGGACCCTAAGATCATGACCTGAGATGAAGGCAGAGGCTTTAACCCACTAAGCCACCCAGGCACCCCATTGTCTTAAATTTTTAAATGGAGAAATGTCTGCAAAAATTGCATGTTTTTGTTTCACAATAAGTAGTATTACATAGAAAGGCTACAATTTCTCCCATACTTAAGTGCTTTACGTCTATATCAACCTTCAGTATATCAACTATATGAATAATATCAAAAGATTATTAGATTATATCAAGATATTTAGGGGCACCTGGGTGGCTCAGTGGGTTAAAGCCTCTGCCTTTGGCTCAGGTCATGATCCCAGGGTCCTGGGATGGAGCGCTACTCGGCGGGGGGGAGCCTGCTCCCCCCCCCCCCCGCCCTCTCTGCCTACTGTGATCTCTGTCAAATAAATAAAATTTTTTTTAAAAAAGATATTTAAATGATAGATCTCTTGTGGTATCTGTCTAGCCCACACCATCATTTTCAGGAAAATTTTCTCCAGTAGAAGTGTATGGTTGCAGCCATGTTTATTTTATTTGATCCATTTCCCTCTGAGTCTTCAGACAATCAGACAAGGTGGTGTTGCTAATCCAAGCTTTGTAAATCTCGTTTGTTTAAAAACAACGAAGCAAATCCAAAGAAAGCAAATCTAAAATAGTTTCTGTTAGGAACGTAACAAGAAAATGATATCATGTTGGCTAAATAAATAGAAAGAAAAAAAAACAGAAGGTCAATGCAGTTACAGAGAAGAAGAAAGGAAATGCCTAAAAGGTAACATTATGGATTTTCCAGTCCCTCCCAAGTCTGCTTTCTCCCTTGGCTTTTTGGAAACAAGTATGTGCACTTTTAAGAAATGTCCCTTTAATTATGATATCTATGTGGATTTCTCCCTTGTCAAAAGCATATCTAGATTCTTGCATGGCTTGAAATTTACTCTTCATTGGAGATTTTTAAATTGTGTTTTTATATTAATATAATAATATTTGGGATCAAAAGTTTGTGGAATATTAGTAGTCTGTAAAGGACAAGCACAAACTCTGGTTAACATATATGATTTTGAGAAGAACTGATGGCTATCTTAAAATTTTACAGTGTTTGGTGTGTCTTATGGAAATTATTTGAAAATTCTCATATGTAAGAAAGTTTTAAATATTATTACTGTCATAATAATATTGACAATATAAAATGTGTTTTAAAAGAGATGTATACCATATTTGTAGGATCTTTATAGCATGGTAGTTATGTTTGGTTTTTTGTTTGTTTTTTAGAATCTATTCCATTACATAGAGGATGCCAGAGAATTTTGACATTTAATGAAAAACATTTAGATCATTCTGAAGTACTGCAAATTACTTTTCTAAAGAGCATATAAAGTGGCTACTAGGGAACATGGTGTTTTGTTTGTCCAGCTCATATAATGTATTAGGATTCCAGCAGAAAAAAAAGGGGCTTCTATGTTAGGAGGAGAGTCCATCTATCAAAATTTTAAAATTGTGATTTATTGATTGACCTATTGAATATTGGTTGAGCATCTAACATGTGCTATGACTGTTCTAGATGTTGGGAGGTGTAGATATGAACAAAGCAAAGATATCAAGCACAAGAAAGTCACAGAAAAGAAAAAAATATGTACATCAATACTATATCAGATAAATGTGAAGGAGGAAAAGCCAGGTAAGAGATATAGAAAGTGTCATCATATGCATTTTCCCATAGTTTGAAAGTTTTAAAATCATAGTTCTCTGACCTTATGTCAAAATGGTATCATCTCCTGTAATAAACTGAATTAACTGGTTTTTTTTTTAATGTGATTCAACCAATGGGAACAACTATTCTGTCACATACACTACCTAGAATATGGAAGAAAATCTAGAGGAATTCATCCTCTTTGCTGAGAGAATTTTAAGAAATCACATAGGTATATACTGTTATTTTCACATGATTTATCACTGTTGTCTTCTTTGACTTCTCAATTTTCCTAGCACCTCAGGCCAACTACAGGTTGGAAAAAGTAGGGACCATGTTTAGGTTGTTCATTGATCTATCAGAAGTTAGTACATAGAAAGCTAATAATACTTCTTTGAATGAAGGAATGAGTAATTATAATTATATGGTTTTCCGATTACACTGCCTCCTTCAAATCATTTCCAAACTCCTAATAGCATACTGGATTATCAGAGAATACAATTGTAGCGATTCCTCTGGAAGACAACACATGGTGGCGCTGCAAGCTAAGGTTTAAAACTTAAAAAAAAAAAAAAGAAGAAGAAGAAGAACAGGAACAGCTACAAACCCGACTTCCGATCTATAACTAAAAACAAAGCCTGTACGCAGAGTTCCGGACCAGTACGTCATGCTACTCACCAACATTTCCGGACGGGTTATCAACTGAGAGATCCATCACTGTCCCTAAGGTAGAGCTGGGCCCTGTTTCTGGACAGGTGTTTGTGGAAGTAAAGATGGAGGCCGGAGGGAAGTGCTTTCCTAAACAAAGGCAAGTCCTGATTCTCTTTCTCGTGTTGGGAGTAGCTTTGGCAGGCTGGGAATCTCGTCGCTATTCCGTGATGGAGGAAACCGAGAGTGGCTCCTTTGTGGCCAATCTGGCCAAAGACTTGGGGCTGGGAGTGGGGGAGCTAGCAGCGCGGGGAGCCCGGGTAGTCTCCGAGGATAACAAACCCCGCTTGCAGCTTGATCAGCAGACCGGGGAGTTGATACTAAACGAGAAACTGGATCGGGAGGAGATGTGTGGCCCCGCAGATCCTTGTGTAATGCATTTCGAAGTGTTGCTGAAAAAACCACTGGGAGTATTTCGAGCTGAGCTACTGGTGAGAGACATAAATGATCATTCTCCAGAGTTTCCTGAAAGAGAAATGACTCTGAAAATCCTGGAGACTAGCCCTCTGGGGACCATGTTTCCTCTGAAAAAAGCCCAGGACTTGGACGTGGGCAACAACAACATCCAAAGTTATAGTATCAGTCCGAACTCTCATTTCCATGTTTCTACCCGCACCCGGGGGGATGGTAGGAAATACCCAGAACTGGTACTAGACAAAGAGCTGGATCGTGAGGAGCAGGCTGAGCTCCGATTAACCCTCACAGCACTGGATGGGGGCTCACCACCCCGGTCTGGCACTGCTCAGGTTCGCATCTTGGTACTGGATGTCAATGACAATGCCCCTGAGTTTGCAAAGATACTCTACCAGGTGCAGATTCCAGAGAACAGCCCTGTAGGCATGCTAGTTGTCAAGGTCTCTGCTAGAGATTTAGACACTGGAACAAATGGGGAAATATCATACTCCTATTTTTATAGTTCCCAAGAGATAAGCACAACTTTTGAGCTAAACAGCCTTTCAGGAGAGGTTCGACTAATTAAAAAATTGGATTTTGAGATAATATCTTCATATGAGCTGGAAATAGAGGCGTCTGATGGGGGGGGGCTTTCGGGAAGGTGCTCTGTCTCCATTGAGGTGGTGGATGTTAACGATAACCTCCCAGAAATAACTATTTCATCACTCACCAGCCCCATTCCTGAAAATTCTCCTGAGACAGAGGTGGCCCTGTTTAGAATTCGAGACCGAGACACAGGGGACAATGGAAGGATGACTTGCTCTATCCAGGATGACCTCCCCTTCGTCCTGAAACCATCTGAAGAGAATTTCTATACCCTGGTAACAAATGGGGCCCTAGACAGGGAGAGCCAGGCCGAGTACAACATCACCATCACCGTCACCGACCTGGG